ATATTAAAACGAGAGAGAATGTGATAAAGATTATGAGTATACAGCGAGGATTTTTGGACATACATTAAAACTTTATTAAAAGTGAGAAGAAGTAGAAAACAAATCGAAAACGGTATAACCACAAGTACATCAACTACTCAACTACTGTTGTACGGATGACGAATGTCGATTGTCGTTCGTTAATTGAAAATTAGGCAATGCACCCTCAGATGTCGCTCGTTCATTCTTTTCCCTGCTGCTGATAATGATACTCTCTTGATGTTTTGGAAACCATAAATTTGTATCATAGGTCTTTACATTGGTGTTGTAAATTTGCGACAAATGTTAAATTGTTTTGTACAAATTATTAAACCAATTGTAATGAAAATTTAAAATTAGGAAAAAATGCGTACTTTATCTATATGAACAAATTAAATAATTTTATAATTATTAATTAATGCAAAGTACATTACATGGTTTTTATAAAAGATGCAAACTTTGATATTATTTATTTCATGTAAATAAAATTATTTATATATAGATTTATTAATTATTATATAGTTGATGTATGCTAGCGCAGTAGTCATTTCTCCGACATCGAACAGACAATATAAAATGTTCAAATTGATTTTCATTATTTGTGATCAACATTCATCTTTCTCAAGATACCATTGAAAATAATTTTCATTTATATAGAAAATAACACAAAATGTTTAATGTAATTACATAGAACGTGATCTAAACAAAAAATTTTTAGTTCGATAATGCAATCTTATTTTTAGTGTTATATAGTCTATTTGTTATGTTAATAATATTTAGTATTACGTAGTACAATTGAAAAGGATTGATGATTAATATATTATTAGGAAAAATTACAAGATATCTACTCGTTTAAGTTAGACTTAATTTTCATTCAACTTAAATATTTTTTGGTGTATTGAAAAAAGTACATTAAAAAACGTAAAAAAATATACGAATTATAATTGGTAGAAATTCTAGTAATTTTGACCCTTCTCTTATGTACATGTAATTATTTTGTAATTCGATAAATTTGGTTTGAGGTGACGCATGTGTGTGAAATCTAAGCCAAAGCGAAATATAATACGTTAAGACAAATGTCAAGGAAAATAGATATATCCATTTTTAACCTATTTAATTTTATCATGGTTTGCGCATTTTTATATAATTTTTATATTCTGCGTTCATAAAAGTGACGAAGAGGCTGCGATATTTATATTGTTGCAAAACTGGAAAAATTTGGCTGGTGTTTTCAAGTTTGGTGGACGAATTCTTATTTTACTCGCTTATATATACTATGTCTTATTATACAGCTTACATGCACTAAATTATATGCACTAACTTATATATACTATGGCACATTACTGCAAAAGAATTTTTTAAGATATCCTCTTTGATGAGGAGTCATGTACAATGGTTTGAAACAAGGGATTTAAAAGAAGGATTTGGTGCATAAGAATTCTTTTATCATTTAAAGGTAATAATATTGTTGACAGATAAATTTTGTATTAAATATGTACTTATACATTTTTTCAATCATTTTTATGTTTCATTCTGATGAAATCTTTATGATTTTATTGTATATTTTGCTATATACGTATAATAACAGAATAAAATTAATAATGCTGGAATTTAATTTACAATTATATCATTCTTAAAAATTCATTATAGTTTTAACATTTTTTATAAATTTTTTACATTTCTGGTAATTAAATAAAACTTTTTTTTCTTACAATTAAATGAAATGACTAATTTGATGTAAAATTTATTATCATATAAATGTTAAAAAATATCTAAATAAATTTATTGTTTTACAGTCATTTGTTCAGTGTTATATCAAACTTTTCTTAATATATTTTCTTAATAAAAATAAAATTAATCTAAAAAAAAATCAATTTTTTTAATTTAAAAATTCAAAATAATTTAACAGATTTATCAGATTATATTTTATATTTAATTAAAATTTTTTATAATAATTAGATGTTTTGAATTTTTAAAAAAATTTATTATTCATTGCCACAAAGAATTTATAAATTTTTAGTAAAATTATTGAATATTTTGTTTACAGTGGAATGGAATGTAGATTGTGAAATAAGAAAAAATCCTATTTTATGAAATAAAAGTATTTAGTGAAAGAAAATAATATATTTGTGATATTACATAAATTGCCTTTTAAAATGTTGTATTAATAATGTTAGAGCTCCAAAGTAAATATTTTGTAATAATGATTATATTATATTAGAAAAAATTAATTTATTTGTATTATTATTATATTTTATCTAGCTATAATCAATGAAATAGTGAAATGATACTAGATCCTAATTTTTTATTAAAATCGCTTGTTTCTTATACTGTTATTATAAATTCAAGATGGAATTGTTAAAATAGTTATTTGAGTTCTATCAATGAATAATGGGTATAAAATACAAACTTTATTACTGTGAAAAAAGATAATTGTACATGGAAATTAAAGCGTATATAATTTATATAGTCCCAATTTATATTAAATTGCTGAGTAATGCTTTATACGTATATAAAACAAAATAATTGAAGATAAATTTAGTAAAAATTAAAATTTTCATATCAGCATTTCATTTAAAATTTAACTACTACACAGTACAGGTATTTATGGAAAATTGAACAAACCTTTTTCTAAAACAGGTATCTATGTAATAGTTGATATTGGCTTAACAATATGGTAAGAGACATGCATTCTAATATATATTTTTTATATTTTCAAATATTTTAGGAAAATTTTAGCAGTATTAATGCAAATGAGCATCAAATATATACTTTAATTAAACAATGTTTACAAAAATTATATTTTATATCGGATGCAGTTTTATTGAAAAGGAAAAAATAACCTCCTAATGTAATAAAGTATGATGAAATTAAGGATTCAAGATAATTAATAATATATTGATAGATAGAATAAAGTATGTCAAATGAAACTAATACCAAAGATACTGCACAAAATAATTTTTTTGGAAAATGTAAATTATATATATTTCTGTACTTAATGATTGTATTTATTTTGTTAAATTTCGATATATTTTTTTAACAAATATTCAATAAATTAACTTTTTTCTTGTACTTTGTCATAAGAATAGTTAATTAATACTTTAATTGTTCAATTCAAACATATAAATTAAATTTATTATAATTACCTATTGCATTGAAAATATATTATTACATTCATTTTTTTTGCAGTAGAGTAAACAAGGATTTAAAATATAATAGTGACTTAGATATAAAAAATTATATAGATTCAAGAATGCATGAAGGAACATGGAAACAAGAAATACTGCTTCTGTTTACTACAAATGATACTCCTTGTTATATGTAATTATGTATTTAAAAAAAATTTTTAAACTAAATAATACTTATGAATTTAAGCTTTAACTTTCATTTAATGAATACAAAGACAATAATCTATTCTATTCTATAGTATAAATATCAATGATGAACAATAAATACTGTTCTCTATATTGTGTAATAACAGTACATATAATGATACTTAAAAAATTAAGTAATTCGATTCATCATATTAATTATAAATTTGAAAATGTCACTTTTAAAAAAATAAATATATAAGAATACATGAAATAATATTTTTAAACTATAGTTTCATAATTAAAATATTATATTTTCAAATTCAAATTTTAGTCTAGGTGAAAATGAGTAATATTAAGAATGGTTTAAAAGAGGCAAATATTTAAGCAATAATAATCAGAATATGTAAGATGTGATATTGATTATAGGGTTAAATGTATCATTTTCAATTAAAGTACATACATCCGAGATTTTTAAAGCAAATTTGTCAGTCAATTTTTTCACAAATTTGTCAAATTTTTATACAATTTATTGAATTGTAGTTTATACTTATATTTAAATAATCAATTAAATTAATTATATCAAATAATTGTTTTACTCAATGAGATATTTTATTTAGTCTGGTCATTTTTTTGCAAGAGCAATATTTAATCTTTCTGTTATAAAATATGAACTTTGAGTAATGTCTGATATAAATACCAAAGATATACACGTAAATTTCACCATTAGTTTTAATATATTTTAATTATTGAATAATAATAAATAATAAATAAAATAATAAATAATAATAAATTAAATTAATTAGAAAGTAAAATGAAATTTAAATTAGTAAAATGAATTACATAAATAGAAATTGTGGTTTATCAGTTTTTACATCTATTTTTATTTTCTATATGATTGTCAATATTAAATTTATTATTATTTTTATACCGAAAATACAAAATAAGTTATAAAATATTTTTAAAAAAATATTTTTATAAATAAAATGAGCAAATAATACTTATGAGAAAGATTTGTAACTAGAAAATTAAGATTTATTTAAGAGTAAAATTTACGATAATCATTAATGTAGAATATTGCCCTCTTCAGATGATAGTTGCTCTAATGATATATTGATTATCCATAATTCTTAAAATCAAAAATTAATTTCTTTCAAAGTTTTATTTGTAAAAATGATAATTATTTTACAAATGTATCTAAAAATATCATGCATAATTTTTCAAGAATTTGAATAAATATATTGTTTGTTATGTTCTGAAAACTTTTTGATCATTCGTAGATATCTTAGTATTCTATTTTAGCAACGTGTTCTTTTCGATATGGAATTATGATAGTAATTTCAGTTTAGAAGTTGAAAAAAATTTCAGCTTGAAATAATGTACTGATTATCAAAGTTAGAATCAAAGAAAATCGCCAACTTCAATAAAATGTCTAAAAAATGAAGAGATGGTGTTGACTGTTAAGAGGGGGTTGGAGGGGGTACAGTTGGTACCGCGACTGCGTATAACGCGTTAGTGCGGTATAGGGCTCGTCGGTATACTAGCCAAGTTGCCGGGAACTGCTAATGTATCAGTTGGGTGTTAACCGTTGATCTTGTTCTTTCATTTTTTTTTATTGTTTTATTAACATGTGTATATGTGTGTAACGAGCGTGAATCTTGGAGTTAAAGCTAAAATAGTAGTTACGCCCTTCTGTGATCTACGATATTGTGGACACTAGCGAATATGTAAGATAAGTTGCTTACTCTCGCCTATTATTAATGCTACACGAACATATCTTACGTTCCTTAGGGTAGTGAATTTCCCAATTGTCATAAGGGGTGGACCGTAGTGTGGCTTTTTAGTAATGCATGCAAGTCGACGAAGTTCGTGAGACTGAAGCCTGTCAGACCTGATCAGCCTTTGCCCTCAGACCATCATGGTTATTAAAGACTTTACTCAGGGTGAGTTGTTTCTCCCAGGTACATCATTTTTCTAACTAACTGTATTTGTCACCTTTTCATTTTACGAGAAAACTATATACCATGAGAAGCAGGGTGGAGACATTTTTTGCGCGCGTTTATCATTTTAACAATAACATTGGGTTGTAGAATCTAAGGAATGTACATTAATAGGCTTATGTAACTCCACACACACACACACACACACACATACATATATATATATATATATGTATATATCAATTTTTTGGAATAAGAGAATGGCAACTCTTTATAAATAGTTATAGATACCAAGTATAGAATGGATCGAGGCGTAATTTTAAGAATATATATATATAAATAACGCATAATAACTTGGGATTAGTAAAATCTATTTGGTATTCTATATATATTATTTATATTCTTTATATTCAAGTCTTCATCAATGTCCAAGGTAATTATTATTTCAGTCTTTTAAATATTTATAAAATGAAAATCGTCGGGAATAGAAACATTGTGCAAATTAAAAAAAATGAGTATGGATAGCAATAAGTAAAAATTTTCCAATAATTTAAAAATTGATAGTAGTAAGAAAAAAATGGATTCGACAAGAAACTATAGGGACAAAGGCCATAAAATTACGGTGGTGTGAAGTATCCATTAAAACTATCTAATGTTTGGTGATATAAAGAAATCTTTGAACCGGTGAAATATTGAGCTTCATGAGGAAAGAGAATGATGGGGGCCATCTGAAAAAACTTCTGCTCATCGTAAATATTTAGGTTTCATAAAGAACGCAGTTCTGAATAACGATGTAAAAACAAACTTTGAAATAAACTTTGAATGTGAAATAAGGATTACATATTAGTATCATAAAAGTGTTCTTCTTCAATTTTACAAAAAAATTGTCAGGATAAAAAGAAACTTATTGAAAATTATTTTCGTCGTTTATTCCTAGTCGACTCTACCTTACGAATGCACTCCTCTCTTTTAATGTTGAGTGAATCGGGGTGAAGTAACTGGGTCCCGCTTCTATGATACTTAATGATCAAGGGTTAATTGCAATTTGCTCTTTCTAACGTGGCCTGTCTATTACGCAGTGATTGAAGAAACCATCATTTTTTTATAATAAGGGACGATTTTCATTAAGATGACTGCTCGATTAATTTCTACGAAAAACTGCTTTAATTCTCAATTCTTGTTGAGTTATTAAATTTTAACTGCCTGATTTGCATAGCTATTTATCACATCATCTTTTATATGATTCGTAGAGTTCAGTTATTAAGAGAACGTGATTTAAAATATAAAAGTTAAAAAAATCATAGATATTGTTTCTAAAAAAAGAAGTAGAGGTCTCTCTCTTGGGTAAAACAATTTATTGTTTCTTTTGAAAGTATCTTACCTCTGCGGGCTTCGTATACCTATCTGAAAGTAAACAATGTGTGCACCGTAAGCTTTACTTCTGCATCCCTTCCCATAAAAATCCGCAAGTTATTAATTTCGTGACGCTATAGTCTACTTGATATTTGTATACGCTCAACACGTTGTGCCGCTGCTAAGCAAACGTTGACCCCGTAGTTCGCCTTTTTCTCTGTATAATGTAAGATAATATAACGTTTCTTTTTAATATATCTTTTTTTTTTATTTTATGTTCGTTCTTGTTTAGCAAGCTTAATAGCACAACCTAGACTTATTTACCTGCTATGGTTATAATGCGAGCTATTACAAGTTAATTCTTCTTCAGCATATCAGTCATTGATTTTGCTCTGTTTCTATTAATCATTTATTACAATTCAGTCACAATTGTATTATATATACCATTATAATTAAAAATATAATATAATTAAATATTCGAAATAATCAAATATCTACATTTTTGAATATTTACATGGTACAAATAGATCTTGCTAATAGTTTATCGAAATTATCGCTCTTTCTTTTTTCTTATTTTCTTATTTTCTTATTTTATAGATGAATTCAATTATTTGAAATTAACGTTTTTCTTTATAACACCTTAATAATATAAGAATATGTTTACATTGAGATATAACTAGAATTAAGTTAATGAGCAATATGACGAAGTGCATTTGTAATTTCTTTTATAAATTGGAACATTGACGAAATTATAGTCTCTACCTTACGTTTTGCTGAACATGAAAAAACAACATTTTTTAATTTACGGGAAAGTGTGCACACAGATGAGTAGTGTACAACAACCCTGTTTTCATTCATTCGTAACGGCTGTGATTAATGTGAAATATATTTAACTTCGTATTTATGTAGCGGTCTAATATTGATCTAATATCTGTCTTGACTGTAAATACTTGCAAATTTTGGAAAATTCCAATACATATTTTGTTTTTCTTCGAAATTGTTATGTTATTCGTTGACAACTTTTAACAGCTATATTTTAAATGAGTGTATGTATTTTAAATTAATTACAATTAAATTTTTTTAAAATAAATTACAATAAGTATGTAAGTAACTCATATATTACCTAATCGTTTAGTTAGTTATTTTATATCATAAATTACATAATTATATATTTATTCAATAAACAGTCTATCGTTCTTAATTTGATTATCTTTATCTAATACTATTTAAAGCTACAATATGATTTAATAGAAATCAAATCAGTTATCAAATGTATCGTACTAAAAAAGTCTACGTTACTACATATACCTTGTTAAAATATTAACTCTCTGAATATAACTATCCTTTTTCCTTGTGCTACGTCATCAAGATCCTTGATGTGTGAGTCATAAAGTCATCGGTAAATTCTAGATAAAGCATTTCGTCGTATTTTGCTTAACGGATGTGTTGGAATTCTATAATGTCGGAAATAAAAATGGATACACACACATACCTACGTTTGCGTAGGCAGACGAGCTTCATTGATGCTTTGTGTTTGTGCGTTAATTATAGTTCTGCTATATTATCCTCCCATATTTTCTTATACTTTCTATTATTATCGCTTATTATTCGAAATGTGCAGAGAATATTTATAGCCGGACAATTGTTATGCATTCGACGATTTTTATTAGATGCATACTAAAAATTATTGTATTTTAGATCAATATATCGCATTCTTACTACTTAGGTGATCGATTAAATTATTCCTTACTTTATTTACTTTTATGTAAAACTCTTTCTTGTTGTTCTGCTAAAATAAAATAAAGGATAATTCCATAGACACTTATTGCTTCCACCATTTTTAACTATTTACGCATAGATACGCATTGGTTGTTTGTTACTATGTATGTAAAGAGCACTCAATTTTCACCTTCATATTGTCGAATAGTGTGAAAAATAGCTTTATGTATTTTCCACTTATCAATTTTTACTTAATTGTTTCAATAAGGAGAAAAATTACAACTTGTTAGTTAAATAAAATAAATGTTAGTTAAAATAAATAAATGTGTAAGGAGATGCTTGGTTTTATCTTCTCTTTTGCTTTTATTTTTTTTTATTTTTGAATTTCTATTCAAAGAATTGGAATGGCGTGCTTTATGGAACAATTATAAAATAGAAACATATTGCTCTTCTATTGATATAACATGTCTTTTTGTTAGTTTTTTATGCAAATGTTTTAAATTTATTTATGTCATTTGACATGGAATTTTGAACGCTTTAAAAATTCTCGTAGTATACTTTGTAGTTAATAGTATAACTATTTTTTAATATAGTAATTGTATGATAATACATTTTATATAATGTTACTGTATTAAATTTTTCTTACTGTGATAATTAATAAGTAAATAAAATTAAGACAGTATTTTATAGCAGGTTTTATAAATACATATGCGTATATTTATAATAAATATAAAATATAAAAAGAGCTGCGTGTTTAAGTAATTGGCAAGTTAACAATTTAAATTAAAATAATTAATACATTAAAAATTTATTATATTTGAAAAGATTAAAAATTAAAGATTACAAATGTGAATGTACAACTACTACTACTATACGAATGATTAATTGTGAAGTAACAATTTTTTGTATTTATATAAATTATAATATCTATTCGGATAAAATCATTGAAAATGCATTATTATCTTGTTAAATTATTATCAAATTTTGATATCATTGGCAAAAAAGGTTCAACTTTGCCAGCATGGAAATAATGTTGAAAATCATCGCACTTAATGAATTTTTTGTTTAAATTATACTAATTCAATAACAGATTGCTCATATGCATAATAAATAAAATTACAAGTCGTTTTATAAAGCAATACAAGTATGAGTGAGCATAAAATCGCTTTTTATGTTTTTGCTAAAGTGTACAAATTAAAACGTGAACAGTCGGGATTTTCAGTCTGGTTAAAAAATTTGTCTTTGTGTAATACAGGACCGCTGTCGTCACCGGTTCAATCACATACGCCATTAAATAAGGGGAGGGAGGCATAGAGAACTGTGAGAAAAGCGCTGCGAAGCATTTTTTATCATGCAGCTCTATCGTAAGCAACTTTTACTAGACCAGACTGCAAAACTGTTTATTATTAAAACTGATATTAACTAGTCCTTTGATAAACAAACACACTTAAAATAATATTTGTCTTGTAATATAAAAGGCCATTTATTAAAATGACATTTTATTGTAAATTACCAATTGTCTGATGTTGATCGAAATACAGAGAGGAAGAGAGAGAAACTCAAGTTATTTATTTATGATAATAAAAAGAATTGTATCTTAATATGAGATTCTGTTAATAATTTCTCGGCTTTATTGAATTATTTCTAAATATAAGTATATAGAAGTCTACTGATATATTTCTATTTCAATTTCAACTCAAATGTTCTATTTGCTAATATATTATTGTATTACAATATATCTTATGACCGTATAGCAATGGAATTCTTTTGGTTTATTTTCAGAAGACAATATATATATGACTAAAAAATACGTTTGAAATATGTAGGTATTGATACTAGTTTAAGAAATATTATTTAACAAATTTGTGTACTCGATTGTACATTTATAAATACTTGATAAAAATTAAATGTTTTATTGAAAGTTTTATAAA